CTTAGGGCTTAGGGCTTGGGGTTTAGGGTTCAGGGTTTAGGGCTTAGGGTTTAGGGTTTAGGGCTTAGAGCTTTGGGCTTGGGATTTCGGGTTTAGGGCTTAGGGTGTAGGGTTTAGGGCTTAGGGCTTGGGGTTTCGGGTTTAGGGCTTAGGGTGTAGGGTTTAGGGTTTAGGGTTTAGGTCTTAGGGCTTGGGGTTTCGGGTTTAGGGTTTAGGGTTTAGGGTTAGGGCTTAGGGCTTAGGGCTTGGGGTTTAGGGTTTAGGGTTTAGGGCTTCGGGTTTAGGGTTAGGGCTTTGGGTTTAGGGTTCAGGGTTTGGGGTTTAGGGTGTGGGGTGTAGGGCTTAGGGCTTTGGGTTTAGAGTTTACTTTGTCATAGTGGGGTAACATTTTAACACTTGTATGGTGTACTTAGACTCTACAAGGAATCGAAGTTTGAATTCTAATAATATCCCAACCATGAACTGGTTCAGGGTTGAAGGTTTAAGCCATGACATAATGGTTTCCTACGAAAGGAACCCAGGCAAGAAAAACCCCTTCAGCCCAAAAACCTAAGCCCCAAAGCCTAAAAAGCCTTAAACCCTATACCCTAAACCTTTTAACCACCCTAAGCCCCAAACCCTCAACTCTACGCCCTAAGCCCTAAACTACAGCTTCCACCCTAAACCCCTAAACCCCAAACCCTAAACCCTATACCCTAAACCCCTATACCCTAAACCCCTAAAAAAAGAGCCCAGGCAACGGCCCCAAGATCCAAACCTTTCAGTCCGCGGCCGAACGCCGCTGTTCCTCGGTTTTTGCAGCAGTATGAGGGGTTGTGGGTGTTTTCTCTAAGTTAGGGTTTAGAGTTTAGGGCTTAGGGGGCTCCTTATGATAGGTATAGTATAACGGACCCCACAACCCTATTCTAATTCTTAAGGCCCCTACATTAGTACTCTTTTGCCGGCTTTGATTTAGGGTTTAGGGTTTATAGTTTGGGTTTAGGGTTCAGGGCCAGTTGTACCCTTCTGCCCGTTTTTCTTCAACGGGGCTCTGGGTCTAGGGTTTACGGTTTAGGGGACCCCTTTCCCCTTTTTCTTTTTGGGTTCCCTGAAAGGGCTCCTGAAAGAGTTCTATAAAGGATCTATAGGAACTAGTACCCGTCCACCCCTTTTCTTTTTGGGGGTCTCCTGATTAAAACCAGATAGTAGCAAAAAAGAGTACACGTCCTTAACCTGCCAAGTAAACCCTAATACCCTAAACCCGAAACCCTAAACCCTAAACCCTAAACCCTAAACCCTAAACCCTAAACCCTAAACCCTAAACCCTGGCTGCTGGGTAACCGAGGTTCTGTGCCGCTTATCACGGCCGGTTGGATATCGTCCGGCTCCTTGGTTTAGGGTTTAGGGTT